GGAGGGGGAGGAGGAGGAGGAGGAGGAGGAGGAGGAGGAGGAGGAGGAGGAGGGGGAGGAGGAGCATGAACTCGAGGAGGAGGAGGATGAGGAGGAAAGTTGGAGGAGGAGGAGGAGGAGGAGGAGGAGGAGCAGGAGCAGGAGCTGGAGCTGGAGCAGCAGCAGGAGGAGGAGGAGGAGGAGGAGGAGGCGCGAGGGGCCCTCCGCTGGCCCAGCCTGGGCCGCGCAGGCCACCGGCCGTTCGTGCTCGTGCTGCGGCGTGGCCTCCTCCGTCCTGCCCAGAGAGTGCATGGTTCCAGGCCTGCCAAGTGGTGTCGGAGGGTCGCGCCGTAAGTATCGCCGATGCGTCGGCGATGCGGCTCGATGTAGGGCCCGATTGTGTCCGCGCCGACGGCGCCGACGTGTCGCCGACGTCGCTGGTGCATCGCTGGTGCGTCGCCGATGTATCGGCGATACGTCGGCGATGCGGCGCGATCTTCTGACCCCGTCTACTCGGATCCCACCCCGCCCAGGAGCGGGTGGATTCGCTATCGGGGGCCGATCGCCGATATATCGGAGATGTACCGCCGATTCCAGGCCCGTGTTTTCTCCCTATGAGCTGGTCCCCCTAGTGCCGTTCCCCATCAGGGGAGGAGGGTGTCCGCGACTCGGTTCGGTCGGCTGCGTCGTAGTCGGCTGCATTCGGTCAGTTCGTTCTGGCCTGCCGCTGCGCCGTCTGCGCCTTTCCAGGCTGCCTCTCGGTCTGTCGGTTTTTTGGGTGCTCTCGGTCTGGCGGTCGGTTTGGTCGGTTTGCGATGTTTCCGTCGCCGTGGACGTTTACGATCCGAGGCGGGGATCCATCCATGACTACACCCTGGGTGATCGATTGTTTTGGACCTCGGCAGGCGGTGCATGTGGACATGGATGTATAGTAATACACATGTTGATCGACATAAGTATGCATATGTTCGGGACCCCCAGGGGACCGAATACAAATCCAGATCCACAGTCCCATGGGGTCCCAGGACGTCGGTTCCCCGGGCAGGGCCATGGATGACTCCCCGCCTCGCACGTGCGCAAAAGCAGGGGGCCCAGGCTTCAGGAGTCACCACCCACCCAACGACCCCAACCCAACCCGACGCTCCAGTTCCAGTGGGGCGGGGTCGGGGAACACTGAAAAAAACACACGGGAAGCCGTACCCCCCCAACCCGAAATTCGGGTCAAATTCGGGTCAAATTCGGGTCTTCGGGTTGGGAGGAGGAGGAGGAGGAGGAGGAGGAGGAGGAGGAGGGGGAGGAAGGGAGGAGGGGGAGGAAGAGAAGGAGGAGGAGAGGGAGGAGAGGAAGGAGGAGGAGGAGGAGGAGGAGGAGGAGGCGGACGAGGAGGAGGAGGAGGAGGAGGAAGGAGGAGGAGGAGGAGGAGGAGGAGGAGGAGGAGGGAGGAGAGGAGGAGGAGGAGGAGGAGGGGGGTGGTCTGGTAGGTAGTTCAGGAGGCGCCTCGAGAAGCGCGCGCCGGAGGTCTGCCGCAGGGCTCGGCGTGTGCGGGGGCCGCTCCTGGGGGCCCACGGGGCCGTCAGCGAGCGGTGAAGGGGGCTGTGATCGGAGGGCACCCACTATACACCAACACCGATCCTGGCCCAGGATCACCCTGGGCCCAGGATCGGTGTGTATGCCTTCTTGCGCAAGGCAGGAGGGCGTATACACCGATCCTGGGCCCAGGGTGATCCTGGGCCAGGATCGGTGTTGGTGTATAGTTGGTGCCCTCCGATGTGAGGCTGGTGCCCATCGGAGGGGGGCCAGCGTTTGAAGGCAGTGTTAAGTCGGGCCCGTCCCCCATACAGGGGGATTTTCGACGAAGGATGAAACATATTCCCCCAAAATAGCCAACAAATAATATACAAACATAGTCGGGTGACTACTTTTTGAACATTTCTTGACCTTTCTGGGGTATTTTTTGGGGTATTTTTTTATTCTTCGTCGAAGATCCCCCTGGAGGGGGGCACGCCCGACAGAAAAGGCAGTGGGGGATGCCAGATGGGGGGGGTGCTGGCGCCGAGGCGCTGGCCCTCGAGGCACGCCGCGGCGTGGCGCCCCCCACCCCCCGCTCGCACTGCGGGCTGGCCGCGCGGGGTCTCGAGCCGAGCCGGGGGACCGAGAGCCGAGGGGGCGGGGAGAGGCAACGGGGGCGGGACGGCGCGGGGCCTCCTCCTCCTCCTCCTCCTCCTCCTCCTCCTCCTCCTGCTCCTCCTCCTCCTCTCCTCCTCCACCACCTTCTCCTCCTCTCTCCTCCTCCTCCCTCCTCCTCATTCCTCCTCCTCCTCCTCCTCCTCATCTCCCCGCCTCCTCCTCCTCCTCCTCCTCCTCCTCCTCCACCACCTCCTCCTCCTCCTGTAGGGTTGGGGCGAAGTGGGCAGCTACTCCAGGTTTCGTCATAGAGGGAGGGGGGTCTCATTTCGGGGGGGGGTCTCTTCCAGACCATCCTGGAGGGCCTGGGGGGGCCTGGGGACGACGTCTTGGAGGGTTCTCCCACGGGGGAGGTCTGAAGTGGCCTGTCTTGGAGGGTCCAGACCCCCTCCCTTTTACTGCGAATTCCGGGGCAGTTACGGGAAGAGGAGAAGAGCAGCCACAGGGGCAGCATTCTCGGGTGAGCACTGGAGCGGAAGCGGCATGTGATCTCTCCGATCAGCTGGCTCGCCGCTGTGGGGACGACAGGAGCCACCCCATGCCATGCACAATAAAGGAAAGAATCCACGGGGGCAAAGTGAGCATTCTGACGCTCGCAATGCCACGCTGGCTCAACTTCTGTCCAGTCAGGAACAGGTCCCTGCCAGATAATGTCAACAGCGCTGCAACGAACATGGGGGGATGGGGATCGAGCGCATGATAGAAGTGTCCTGCACCGCCCCCCCCATTCCGATGCCCATGCGCATGACCACCCGGCTCCTTTCCTTACCCTTGTGCGTTTTGACGAAGCTATGTCAGGCATTGTGGGTGTCACACAGGGCCACACCCTAGATCGCCAGAATCACCCATGGAGGCCCACTGCGGCGCCTCCTTCCGTAGCTTCGTACCCCAGCACCCCTCTCTCTGCTATCAGACCTGCGGGGCTCTCAGGATCAAACCGCAAGACTTCAATCCCGGCAAAGCGGTATAATTTCTAGCATGCACGCGCTATATTCCACGGCGTCGCATTGTAATTGGCGGGGTGTGTTCAACACACTCTGTTGTTGTGGGTGATGTTTCGTGCCGCGACTGCAGGAGGATTGGAAGAGGTGGCCATTTGAGCCCAAGCGGAGTCTTTAGGAAGAGCTGCACGGTGTCCGCGTGCGTGCGCACACGGCCTTCCAAATTTTACATTCACGATGCAGTGTGATTGGAATTCAGCCGACAGTTACAGCTCACTCGCCATCGTCTCCGCACTCATTTTCGGATCCACCGTGACAGTCTGGTTCGAGGTGAGCCCAGAAGACCGCGAGAGCTTCCTCGAGCAGGAGGCGTTCCGCTGGGCTTTCTGCCTGCAGATCGTCGTGAGTATTGCCTGCTCGGGCATTGGTACGACAATCATGGTGAACCAGTACTACCACATTCGCCGCTTGCAGACATACATCCTGTCCGACGACAGAGACAGTATCATAATGGAGTATTTCATTCTGCCCCAAAAGAAGACGCGCGAGATGGCGAGGCAGGCAGTCTTCGTGTCCTGCTATACCTTCTTCGGTGCGATGGCGACGTACATTTATGCTCATGTTCAGGGTGATGCTCTGAGGTATACCGTTACGACAGTCTTGGCCACAACGGTGCTTGTGATCTTGTCCTCAAAATGGCGAGCTGATGCAGCTGCCCAGGCAGCATTTCATGAGGCTCTGAGCCACGGTGACCATCGATGGAGTGTCTCCGAAGCTGCACCGCGCCTTGCAGCATTAATGGCAAAAGCACTCGATGGAGCGCTGTCAGATGGCAGTGAGTCACAAGTGTAACGTGATGTTGGATTTTCCTAGAGGCTTCCGCCATTCCGCTGGCTTTCAGAAGGGGGGATCTGGGATCCATGACACTGTCCTAGCTCGCTCGGGTTCTGCGGAAAGTGCACCGTAGAGGTCAAGGGGGACGGGGAAGAACGATACGACTATGATGAAAACGAGGATGAGAGGGGAGGGGAGGAACAGGCGAGGAGGGGATGGGGACACGAGACGTAGGAGGAGTATACCAGAGGGAGGGGGAGGAAGGCGATGGCGACGACGACGACGACGATGCTGATGATGATGACGACGATGACGATGATGATGCTGCTGCTGATGATGATGATGATGGTGATGCTACTGCTGCTGATGATGAGTATGATGATGAACATGATAGTGCTGCTGATTCGGATGCTGATGATATTGATGATGATGCTGCTGCTGATGATGAAGGTGGTGATAGTTATCATTATGTCGAGGCTGATGATGGCGCCGAAGATGATGCTGATGCTAATGATGACGATCATGATGATGATGATGACGACTATGACGATAATGACAATGACGATGACGATGATGATGATGATGCTGATGCTGCTGATGATGTTGATATTGATGACGATGATGATGGTGATGCTGATGTTGATGATAATGATGTTGTTCACGATGATGCTGATGATGATGATGATGATGATTCTGATGAGGATTCTGATGCTGATGATGATGGTGCTGCTGATGGTGGCGATAAGGATGCTAATGATGCTGATGATTATGCTGATGATGATGTTGATTGTGATGGTGGTGGTGGCGATGATGATGCTGCTGATGACGACGACGACGATGACGATGCCGATGACGATCATGTTGTTGTTGATGCTGGTGATGATGCTGATACCGATGTTGCTGCTGCTGCTGATGATGATCATGGTGCTGCTGCTGCTGCTGCTGATGATGATGATGATGATCATGCTGCTGATGATGGTTATGATCATGAGGATGGTGGTGAGGATGGTAATGATGGTGATGCTGACAATGATGATGATGCTGATGATTATGGTCATGATTACGGTGATGATGATGCTGCTGATGATGATGATGATGATGATTGTGCAAATTATGATGATGGTGGTGATGCTGGTGGTCATGATGATGGTTATGATGATGCTGACGCTGCTGCTGATGATGATGATGCTGATGGTGATGATGATGATGATGTTGCTGCTGCTGCTGATGATGATGATTGGGATGATGATGATGATGATGATGATGATGATGATGATGATGATGATGATGCTGATGCTGATGCTGATGCTGATGATGCTGATGATGCTGATGTTGATGATGATGCTGTTGATGATGCTGATGATGATGATGCTGATGCTGATGCTGCTGCTGCTGATGATGATGGTTATGATGATGATGCTGATGATGATGCTGATGATGATGCTGATGATGATGATGCTGCTGCTGCTGCTGATGATGATGATGATTGATGATGATGATGATGATGATGATGATGATGATGATGATGATGATGGATGATGATGATGATGATGATGATGAGATGATGATGATGATGAGATGTGGAGGAGGGATGAGTGGAGGAGGATGTGGAGGAGGAGGAGGAGGAGGAAGGAGGAGGAGGAGGGGAGGAGGAGGAGGCGAGGAGGAGGAGAGGAGGAGGAGGAGGAGGAGGAGAGGAGGAGGAGGAGGAGGAGGAGGAGGAGGAGGAGGAGGAGGGAGGAGGGAGGAGGAGGAGGAGAGGAGGAGGAGGAGAGGGGAGGAGGAGGAGAGAGGAGGAGGAGGAGGAGGAGGAGTTTAAGGACTATTTGGAGGTCAGAGATATGCATGGCCTAAGTATCATGGGTCTCGAATGGCCAACTGGGGTCTTCCGTGCTGGTACTGTCAGCGGAATCAGACACGAGCGCGTAAATATCTGAATCAGGTTGCATCCATCGTTATTTGGAATGTTCGGTTGCCTTGGATGACCTCGGGGCCATCATGGAGCCTCGTGGAGGTCGCCTCTGCAGTTTTGGGGATCCCTCGTTTTGGCCATCACGGGCCAAGTGGGGGGGCCATTTTGGAGGCCTTTGCGGCCTGGTGGCCTCAGGGCCATCTTGGGGCCTTCAAGCCATTTGGAGGATCTACGACGGCCCAAGACTGCCCCCCGAAGCGCTTCCCAGCAGCGCTGGGGCGAGCGCACGAGAGCGTTTCCGGGACCCTGTGATGGTCAGCAGCCCACGCGGGCGCTCCGACGTCCCGAAGAAGCGTCCTTTGGGGTGCGCCTCGTGCTAGCGGGCTTGGAGGAGGAGTAGTAGTAGTTGTAGTAGTAGTAGTAGTAGTAGTAGTAGTAGTAGTAGGAGGAGGAGGAGGAGGAGGAGGAGGAGGAGGAGGAGGCGGAGGAGGAGGAGGAGGAGGAGGAGGAGAGGGTGAGTGAGTCCAGCGTGTTGTCATTGCCTTCTTCTTTTGCGACTGCGCCAGATGACCCGCCCTGGATGCCTCTCCTGCCTCTTGCTTCGTGGGCCAGAGCTGCACGGTCATAGTTGCTGCAGCAAGCAGAGTCAGTGTAGTGAACGTTCGCGCATAGTTGGAGTTAAGTGCGAAGAGTGAGTGAGTGCGAAAGCGAGCGAGTGAGTGAGGTAGTCATCTCTTCGCCACTGGCTGCGCCGGTGGACTCCACCTGCACGCCCCCGCGCCCCGGCATGTTTTCTGCACGCGACTTGCCCCGCGCAGTCCGTCCACTTGCAAAGCCAGGTAGAATTGAACTAAGCGTTTCCCGCCTTCGTACTCGCGACGGTGCCGCCGCCGCTGGAAGAACAATGGGTGAGGTACTCACGACGTCGTTTCCAATTCACGCGCCTCTACCAGCGTCACTTGGAAATAGAAGCCTTGGAAGTCCCTTTGCCGCGTGTGTGTGCGCCTTGCTTTAGTCGTCATGCCTCTTCACCTTTAAACAGAGGACCTTTGAAATCAAAGCGAGCGCTGACGAGTAGTAAGTCCAAAAAGCTCTTGATGCTCAAAGTCTGCAACAGGCTCCACCTATGACTTTTCCAGTGTCGAGATATGATGAAGCCGAACACGGCGACTGCCGGTCAGCCTGTAAACAATTTCGTGTAGGCCAGTGGGAATCCAAAATCAAAAACGCAAACGAGGCTCACCATATTGCCATTTCAGCATGAGGGAGATATTGGTGTGCCCAAAGGTGAAGTGGACTCTTTTGCTCAGTTTGACGCCGCTGAACCCTCGCACTACGTCGGGAGCGATCAACATGGGCTTGGGTCATATGCGACGTAGTTTGCACGATCAAACTGCCATTTCAGGACACTTTGGTCGTCCTTGAGTGCAAGATCAATGGAAGTGGCCGCACAACACCGCGCACACAGCGCCACCGTCGAAGGCGCAGACCGCCGCACCGCCTAGACACAACAGTCTTATTTCGAATCCTCAGCGCGAGTCGAGTTCGTCCATCATTCTGTCGTCTTCGGAGTAGCTATCGCATGACACTTACTGGCGACTTGATTAAATGTCGCTCTGCCGCAAATGAGATCATCGCGCTCTCGCCTGGGACTTCCTCGCCGCCATCTTCACGCCCCTCCCGCCAGTTTGCCTTTCGGGTCTTCCCGCCTGACCCGTCCGTCAGGGACCGTTTGCCAGACCCGCACCTCATCGTCCTCCCGCCCGAGCCGCTTGTCTTACCCTGTTGGGGTTTACCACTGAGCTGGCCTGACAAATGGAACCTCCCAAGGGGGTACGTCCATAAACAAAGATGGCGGGAATCAAGGGTTTGGGGTGTTCAGGTTGAGTCGCTTGCGGGCAAATCAAGACGAACAGTCTTGAGCATGTTTCTTGTCGTTGTTGTTGAGTATGGCGACGATATTGGTGATGGTCCTGATGATGATGATGATGATGACGATGATGATGATGATGATGATGATGATGATGATGATGATGATGATGATGATGCTGATGATGATGATGATGATGATGCTGATGATGATGATGATGATGATGATGGTGATGGTCATGGCTATGACGGCGATAATGGTGAGCGTGTCTGTTCTTGCGGCAGTAATGACGACGGTGATGGTGATGGTGATGGTGACGGTGATGTCGACGGTGATGATGATGATGATGATGGTGATGCTGATGATGCTGATGCTGATGCTGCTGCTGCTGATAATGATGCTGATGATGGTGATGATGCTGATAAACATGACGACGATGCTGATGATACTGATGATGATGCTGATTCTGATGATGATGATGATGCTGATGCTGATGATGCTGATGACGATGCTGACGATGGTGATGATGGTGATGATGATGATGATGGTGATGCTGATGATGCTGATGCTGATGATTATGATGATGATGCAGATGAAGAAGGTGACGATGATGATGATGATGCTGATGATGATGATGATGATGACGATGATAAGGATGACGATGATGCTGATGATGATGATGATGGTGGTGGTGGTGGTGATGATGATGATGATGCTGATGATGCTGCTGATGATGATGATGATTATGATGATGATGATGATGATGAGGATGATGATGATGATGATGATCATGATGATGAGGATGATGATGATGATGATGATGATGCTGCTGCTGATGATGATGATGATGATGATGACGATGATGATGATGATGATGATGATGATGATGATGATGATGATGATGATGTTTTTGCAGCTGATGACGATGAATCTGAGGATGAATCTGAGTATTGGGAGGAGGAGGAGGAGGAGGAGGAGGAGGAGGAGGAGGAGGTCGAGGCGGAGGAGGAGGAGAAGGAGGAGGAGGAGGAGGAGGAGAGAGGGCGGAGAAGGAGAGACAAGGATGTCCTTCCCAGTCCCGTTTCCTTCCTCTCCCCCGCCGCTGGCTCACACCCTTGGGCGATCCCCGAGGATCTCGCTGCCCGGCTGCACCCTAATTCGCGAACAGCAATGGTGCAGGCTGTCATCCTCTCGGAGCCTTTTCCACTTGCACCTTCCACCTCCCATCGATCAAGATGGGGTTGAGGATGAGGATGAGGATGAGGGTGAGGATAATAATGATGATGATGATGGTGATGATGATGATGATGTTGATGCTGAGGATGATGATTATGATGATCATGGTGGTGGTGGTGATCGTGATGATGATGATGCTGATTGTGATAATGAGGATGATGCTGATACTGATGCTGATGATGATGCTGATGCTGCTGCTGATGATGATAATGCTGATGATGACGATGATGAGGATGAGGATGAACATGAAGATTATGATGATGATGACGATGATGATGATGTTGATGGCGATGGTGATGATCGTGATGCTGATGATGATGGTGGTGGTGGTGGTGGTGGTGACGCTGCTGCTGATGATGCTGCTGATGATGATGATGTTGGTGCTGATGATGATGCTGATGATTGTGATGATCATGATGCTGCTGCTGATGATGATGATGATGATGATGATGATGATGATGATGATAATGTTGATGATAATGCAGCTGATGATGCTGATGAAGATGATGCTGATGATGATGCTGATGATGATGGTGCTGAGGGTGCTGCTGATGATGATGATGACGATGGTGATGATTGTGATGATGATGATGATGATGATGATGATGGTGATGGTGATGATGCTGAGGCTGATGATTATGATGATGATGATGATGATGATGATGCTGATGCTGATGATGATGATGCAGATGATGTTGATGCTGATGATGATGCTGCTGCTGATGATGCTGATGCTGATGCTGATGCTGATGCTGTTCCTGCTGATGATGATGCTGATGATGATGATGATGATGATGATGATGGTGGTGGTGGTGGTGGTGGTGGTTGTGGTGGTGGTAATGATGATGATGATGATGATGATGTTGAGGATGATGATGATGATGATGATGATTTGATGATGATGAGGAGGATGATGAGGATGAGGATGAGGCTGAGGATGAGGATGATGATGATGATGATGCTGATGATGATGATGATGATGATGATGATGATGATGGTGGTGGTGGTGGTGATGGTGATGATGATGATGATGATGATGATGCTGATGATGATGCTGCTGCTGATGATGCTGTGATGATGATGATGATGATTGATGATGATGATGATGATGATGGTGCTGATGCTGATGCTGATGCTGATGACGATGATGATGAGGAGTAGGAGGAGGAGGAGGAGGAGGAGGAGGAGGAGGAGGAGGAGGCGGACCAGGCGGAGGAGGCGAAGGAGGAGGAGGAGGCGGAGGAGGAAGAGACGGAGGATGAGCAGGAGGAGGAGGAGGATGAGCAGGAGGAGGAGGAGGAGGAGGAGGAGGAGGAGGAGGAGGAGGACGAATAATAAGAAACACAACACTACTATTATTATTGTTTTTTATTATTGTTATTATCATTATTATTATCAGTATTATTATCCTTATTATTATTATCATTATTATTAGCATTATTATTAGTTTTATTCGTATTATTATTGTTGTTGTTGTTGTTGTTGTTGTTGTTGTTGTTGTTGTTGTTGTTGTTGTTGTTGTTGTTATTATTATTATTATTATTATTATTATTCTTATTCTTCTTATTATTATTATTATAAGTAGTAGTCATACTAATAATAATCATAATCATGATACTGAAGAATCCCACTCAAACAATACCACTAATAATACTAATCATATGAAGAAGAGGCGGAGGCAAAGGCGGAGGCGGAGACGGAAGCGGAGGAGGAGGGGGAGGCGGAGGAGGAGGAGAGGAGGAGGGAGGAGGAGGAGGAGGAGCAGGAGGAGGAGGAGGAGGCGGCGGAAGCGCAGGCGGAGGCGGAGGAGGTGGCGGAAGGAGGAGGAGGAGGAAAGGAGGGAGGAGGATGAGGAAGGAGAGAAGGAGGAGGATGATGGAGGATGGAGGAAGGATGGAGGAGGATGGGGAGCATGATGGAGGAGGATGGAGGAGGAGGAGGGGAGGCGGAGGAGGAGGGAGGAGGGGGAGGGAGGAGGAGGAGGAGGAGGAGGAGGAGGAGGAGGAGGGGAGGAGGAGGAGGAGGAGGGAGGAGGAGGAGGAGGAGGAGGAGGAGGAGGAGGAGGAGAAGGAGGATGAGGAGGAGGAGGAGGAAGAGGAGTAGGGAGGACGAGACAGTCGGGGAGGAACGGCTTAGAGGGCTACAGTGTTTTCCATCTTGAGGGGATTCAACCTCGATCCTGCATCTCCGTCTTCCGCCATCGCCATTCTCTACCTCCCATCCTCCATCGTCGCTCCGACCCTCCACGATCTCTCCTCGTTGTCCTTCATCCTCAATCCTCTTCCCAAGACCGCCGACGCTGTGTTTTCAAGACTTCGAACCCTGGAGGTCTATACCACGCCCTGTTTACGGATGGTCCTCGAGCCCAGTAAGTAGGCCGCCCGAGAGGCCGAAGCTTGCCGCAGACCTCCTGTCGTGATTTTTTGGTTGGCGACGCGAGGAGGTCTGGGTCAATCCCCCCCTTCTCCGCCTCCTCCTCCTCCTCCTCCTCCTCCGCCTCCTCCCCTTCCTCCTCCTCCCCTTCCTGGCCCCGTCTGCTGCTGCTCCCCCCAGGAGGAGCGTGCCGCTGCTGATCCTCCGCTTCATCCTCACCCCCTGTTCATGGGCAACGTCAGGGGGGGATCGGATCAGGGGGGGTGCATCGACCCCCAGTCGCCCATTCCATGCCGCTGGGGGCCCGACCTCCCACTCGGCCCAGGACGCAGACGCAGAAGACTTCTCAGAAGGCGCGAGGGCTTCTGAGAAGCCCCGCCGCCTTCTGAGAAGGCCTTCTCCTTCTCACTCCCCCCCCTCGCTCGCCGCCGAATCGATGCGCCCCCCCCCCCTGACCCAGACCCTCCCCACCCTAACGTTTCCCCCCCGCCATCTGTCCCCCGAGCCGCTGCGTCCCAGACGGGGGCCCGCCCACAAGCGGCCCGGGCCCCGCAGCGCGCCGGGAGCGCACCGCCGTTTTGTTCAGCGCCGAGGATGGAGGAAGACAGATCGCCACGAGCCGAAACCTGTGGCGCTCCGCGCGCATTTCTTGGATCCGCGCTGGGCCCAGGCGCCGCCCCTGGCGCACTCCGCGCGCCTGCGGGGGGGGTTCCGGCGCACCAAGAGATCCGCGCGGAGCGCCAACAGTTGACGTCTGTTCCTTTTCTCCTCTTCATCTTCGAAGGCCGCCAGATGCTCTGGAGTCGCTCTGGAGCTATCAGGACGTATCCTGAGCAAGGCGCGCTGTGACATCATTGCCGTCCCACCCGGGGAAGAAAACATAGCAGCATAAACATACATGTTCGGAGGTCCGCGCAGATGTTTTGGGCTTGGGCCGGCGCTAGGCCCCAGGCCAGGCCCTGGCCAGAGGAACAACACAAAATCACAGGCCGCCGTTGCAGCCACCAGTCCACTCCTAGGGCCTCCCGGCGTTGCTCCGCCCAGGTTCTGGGCGCTCCAGGAAGAGGGGCCTGGCCTTCGAGGTGGTCGGCGTTCATAAGCAGCTGCCGCTCATCCTCCCGCCTCCTTCCTCCTCCTCCTCCTCCTCCTAGTTCTCCCTCCTACTCCTCCTTCCTCCTCCTCCTAGTTCTCCCTCCTCCTCCTCCTCTTTCCTCCTCCTCCTTCCTCCTCCTTCTAGTTCTCCCTCCTCCCCCTCCTCCTCCTCCTCCTCCTCCTCCTCCTCGTCCTCCTTCTCCTCCTTTCTCCTCCTTCCTCCTCCGTGAGAGGCCCAGGCAATGGCAGAATGTTGGCCACGCTGCTGGGACACATTTTTTTTGTGTGCGTGTGCGGAGCCGGGCGGATCCTGGCACGCGGCCAGGGCGGCCGCGAAAAGAAGCAAGCATCGAGGGTCGAAGGAGTTGGCATCTCTGCGTCGGCCGAAGGTGGCGGAAGGCAGGCGGCAGTAGAACGAGGGCGGCTCCGCCAGCGGAAACCAGCGGAAGTACCATTCGCCTGCCCAAGAGGTGCCACCCTTTTCGGTTCAGGATTCTCGGGTTGGAGGCTCGCGCCGCATCGCCGACGAATCGGCGATGCCGCGCGATCCGAAGCACGATCATCCCCATCTTGGCTTCGTTGACGCATCGCCGATGCAACGGCGATGCGGCGCGATCTTCCGACCCTGTCTTTTCGGGGCCCCATTCGGGTGGACCACAGTTCAGTTTCGAAAGAATAGAGACGGCCACTTTTTCTAAATGCGGCCAGTTGGCCAGACGGCGTATGGTTTCTAGTCTAGTTGTGCCTTTTGAGGCCAGTGTAGGGCCTGGGACCAGAAACGTTGCACAGGATGAGAAGCCTCCCTCAAGGATGGGGGTCAGAGGCTCAGGGGTCCATGTTACGAGCAAACATGTCGTTGTGCGTCTGGGTCTCTCCCCCCTCTCCGTTCCTCTCTCTGGAGCCCTCTTCGAGCGCTCAAGACCGCTTCAGAACGACTGCATCGCCCGATACATCTTCTGAACCAGTCTGCCTTCGCAGATTCCCGAGTTTCCGCCCCCGATTTGTCCGTTCGAGTTCTGCCCTCGTCTGACCCCTTCGCCTGCCCCCCGAGCGCGCGGGGGTGAAGGAGGAGGAGGAGGAGGGACGCAGGAAGATGCAGAGGGTGGTGGAGGAGGGTGGAGAGGGGAGGAGGAAAAGGTTGGAGGGAGGGAGGAAGGTGGGATGAGAGAGAGAGAGAGAGAGGAGGTGGTAGAGAAGCCGTATCTTGGCACGCATGCAACTTTAAGCAGGAAGGTGGTGTTAATTGTAGTCGTGTGGTACTGGTAGTAGTAGTAGTAGTAGTAGTAGTAGTAGTAGTAGTAGTAGTAGTAGTAGTAGTAGTAGTAGTAGTAGTAGTAGTAGTAGTAGTAGCAGTAGTAGTAGTAGCAGTATTAGCAGTAGTAGCAGTAGTAGCAGTAGTAGCAGTAGTATCAGTAGTAGTAGTAGTAGTAGTAGTAGTAGTAGTAGTAGTAGTAGTAGTAGTAGTAGTCGTAGTCGTTTAGTCGTAGTAGTAGAGTAGTAGTAGTAGTAGTAGTAAGTAGTAGTAGTATAGTATTAGTAGTAGTAGTAGTAGTCTAGTAGTAGGAAAGTAGTAGTAGTAGTAGTGTAGTAAGTGGCGTAGGTCGTAATCGTAGTCGTAGTTCGTAGTGGTCGCATTCGGTAGTGGTCGGTAGCAGTAGCATTAAAGTAGTAGTAGTGTAGTAGTGTAGTAGCAGGAGGGAGTGAGGAAGGATGAGTAGTAGTAGGAGAGAGTATTAGTAGTAGTAGTGGTGGTGTGGTGGTGGTGGTGTGGTGGTGTGTGGTGGTGGTGGTGGTTGTGGTGGTGGTGGTTGGTGGTGTGATGAGTAGTATGTAGTAGTAGGTGTGGTGGCAGTAGTCATAGTAGCAGTAGTGTAGTAGTAAGTAGTAGTAGTGTAGTAGCAGTAGTAGTAAGTAGAAGTAAGTGTTAGTAGAAGTAGTAGTAGTAGTAGTAGTAGTAGTAGGAGTAGTAGTATTAGTCGCACCAGCAGTAGTAGTAGTAGTAGTAGTAGTAGTAGTAGTAGTAGCAGTAGTAGTGATCGTAGTAGTAGAAGTAGTAGTAGTAGTAGTAGTAGTAGTAGTAGCAGTAGTAGTAGTCGTCTTCGTCCTAGTAGTAGTAGTAGTAGTTGTAGTAGTAGTAGTAGTAGTAGTAGTAGCAGTCGTAGTAATACTAGTAATAGTAGTAGTCGTACTAGTCGTCGTGGTAGTAGTAGTAGTAGTAGTAGTAGAAGTAGTAGTAGTAGAAGAAGTAGTAGTAGTAGTAGTAGTAGTCGTAGTAGTAGTCGTAGTAGTCGTAGTAGTAGTGTAGTAGTAGCAGTAGTAGTAGTAGTAGTAGTAGTAGTAGTCGTAGTAGTCGTTGTCGTAGTCGTAGTCGTAGTCGTAGTCGTAGTGATAGTAGAAGTCGTTTTCGTAGTCGTTGTAGTTGTAGTAGCGGTCGTATTTGTATTAGTATTAGGAGTATGAGCAGTAGTATTCGTAGTAGTAGCAGTAGTAGTAGTGGCAGCAGTAGTAGTAATAGTAGTAATAGTAGTAGTAATAGTAGTAGTAGTAGTAGTAGTAGTGGTAGTAGTAGTCGTAGTCGTAGTGGTAGTAGTAGTAGTAGTAGTAGTAGTAGTAGTAGCAGTAGTAGTCGTAATAGTAGTAATAGTAGTAATAGTAGTAATAGTAGTAATAGTAGTAATAGTAGTAGTAGCAGCAGCAGTGGTAGCAGTAGTCGTGGTAGTAGTAGTAGTAGTAGTAGTAGTAGTAGTAGTAGTGGCAGTCGTCGTAGTAGT